GTTTATTTTCACAAACATCAATGACCATGAAAAAACGTATTTTACTGTAAAAATAACAAATCAAGTTTGTGGTCCAGGAAAATGAAATAAATTATTAGATTATATTTTTTATAAATACAAAAATTAAAATAAAATTTATATATATTTATAGACATACATATATACACATATAAAGACACAAATATGTATGTGTATATAAATATATATACATATATTCACATATATAGACACACATATATGTATGTGTATATAAATGTATATAAATATATACTGCATATACATATATATTGTTATAGTTTGTACTGGTGTTTGAAGTGTTAAATATTTTGTGATGAAGTGAGCAATGACACAGGAGCTGGGTCTAAATACATCTCACACTGTGTGTCTGCAGACGAAAAATACACACTATCACGTTACACGCACACACAGACAAACACATGCACGCGCACACACGCATCACACAAGTGACTCGTGTAATTGTGAATTGTGTTTGTGGTGTTTCGATGATATAAAAAGTTGACATTTTACATCTCTGTTTCACTTTACTTTGCATTTTATTCATGTGTAAATAACAAAAATGTTAAAACTAAAAGAAAGTCATTCTTGAAATTTTAGGAAAAAATAATCTATAAATTATTTAATTCTAATGGTTGACGTTTAGACCAAATTAAAGAGTTGCATTGATTAACCTGTCATGGAGCACAGTCGCCTGAGGAGGAATCACGACTTTTGCAAACAATATAAAGAAATGATTGGAGGCTAATTACTGCGATTATTGTAATGATTATCATTTAAAGCACAACAGGCCTGAAGTCTTCCAGGCTTTTATTTATATTGTGTGTGTGTGGTTGAAAATGCCAATATGAAAATCATAAAATGAGAGGTGAGGTGCCAATCACTTTTACCTGTATTTGGTATTAGTTCTCGCATGTATATGTATATGTACAGTATGTATACACACACACACACACATATATGTATGTGTGTGTGTGTATATATATACGTGTGTGTATGTATATATACACACACACATATACACATACCCACACATATATATACCTACATAACGTATATATGTATATATATATGTATATATGTATATATATATATATATCAACACACTGAACACAGTGTGTTTTATAGTGTGGCTTTGGTAACAAATTGCTCATCAAGATTGTTAACATATCAGATGTACTGGTCAATTTTCAAAAGGTTTGACACAGATTTGACCAGAAAGAAAAAGCCCTGGTTGACATAAAATGAGGAGTGAGAACTGTTCCACAGCGTCAACTCATGAACACTTTCCACTAAAATAATGAAGTCACTCAAAGTGTAAAAATAAAAATAAGTGAATCATTTCCTACGCTTGCTGCTGACAGTCTTATCAGGACTCAGCAGCAGTTTCCATAAGAATGGACACAGATTCAGAGACGCATGGAGGAAGGCTGAAGAAGACAAAAAGTTTCATGAGGGAATTGGATGTGAACTGACACCGAGTGTGGTCTTTGAAAATGCGCAGAACCTAAACTTGAATACCAACAATAGGGAAATTCTTCCACAACTAAAGCTGTCATTTTCACTCTACATGCATTGTTTAGACAGATGATGAGACTTTCAATAATTATGAATGAATAGTTTTGATCTTCCAGGGACAAATGTAAGGACTGTCAGCAGGCAGCATCATCTCCTCTGATCTGTAGTAGCGCAGAGATACTGGGACAGGATGACAAAGAGTAAAAAAAAAAAAAAAATTTTACAGGAAAATTAGCCAATAATCAATATGTCTGAATAATTGATTTAAATTAACAAATTTATCTCAGCCAGTTTTAACCGGTCATAAGGACAATGTAGTCACTGGTCTGAACCACAGTGATGTATTGTTGGTCAAATCAAATTTTATTAGGTGAATTTTTAATGGAGAAATGCTTCTGTGTCAATTTAAATTGATTTTTTTAAATGGATTGATATTCTTTGTTGACAATCTTACAGTTTTGATTGGCTGCCAATATAGACCTTTCAAAGACTAAACCACAAACTAATTAATTAACAGTGTTAATTGACAGTCATTTTATCGTTTTAAAAATGATCATTAGCTGTAGCTTCGCAACAAACAATGGTTTGAATTGATATGATTTCATCATATTTTTACTGACACACATGCGCGCACACACACACACACATTGGGGTCCATGACTTAACTTTAAATGATTATGTTGTGTTTCTCACCTCCTTCAGCATAACCTAAGCATGAGATTGAATCCCTAACACCCGCCTTTCACACACACGCACACATGCACACATGCACACACACAAACACAACGTCCTTACACATCTCCACCTCCTCCTCTTTTTCATCTCTGCTGTCTGAAGCACTCAAATGTGAAACTGTCAGGAGCCGTGATTTGTGCTAACTAGCTATCGATCCCTCCAGAGCTGTTACTACTGCTGCTGCTGCTGCTGCTACTGCTAAAGAAGCTGCTGTTAGTGCTGCTAATGTTGAAACTGAGGTTGCAGCTGCTGCTCCTAAAGATGCTACTGCTGCGGGACCAGTCTTGTCCAATAAAACATAGAAACAGAAAGATTGAAGATGGAGAGGGACATTATAGACAGATGAGAGAAAGACAGAGGGGGTTAAAGAGTGGGGAAGGAGGGAAGAGAAGGGGAGTAAGAGAGAAGGAAAAAAGACAAAACAAGACAAAAGAGAGGGAATGTGAGATTAGAAAAAAAACTGACAGACCAAAAGATAGAGCAAGGAGTGAGAGAAAGGGAGAGAGAGACGGAGAGTAAGACAGAGACAGAAAAGAGACAGAAAGAGGGACGGGACGAGGGAGCGATGGGAGCTGAGGGAGAAAAGATGTGGAAAAAGTGATGAAGACTAGGAAGAGAAAGTAAAAAAAAAACAAAAGTGCAAAAGAGAGTGGGGGGAGCAGCGGGAGGAATAGGAGGAGGGGAGCTTGAGACATGAGGCGAAGACCCCTTTAAAAAAAATCCTCACTTTTCCTGAGAACACGTAATGTTTAAATATCATTACTGTCAGAGATGTAAAGATGTGAAGACGAGTCCCGTAATGTGAACGGTCGCACTTTACTACTACTTACTTTACACACACTCACACACAAAGAATCCAAATGTTTAGTTTTTGCTCTAATTCATCTTTTTTTAAGGAATTTAACACACTCTTCCTCTTTTGTAAATGACAACAGAACATTTTTTCAGAAGTCACCATTTTCACTGACCTTGCTGTCATTTTACACTTTCACATCAGACAGAAAATCAACGGGGACAGAAACAATATTTTTTTTTTCCACTTGAGTGTTAGTTATTTCTGTGCTCATTTATAATTAGAACAAGAGGTGACATCAGTCACACACACACGTGCGTGCGCACACATGTACACACACACGTCAGGTCTCAATCTAGTATAAACAATACGCCTAAGACTGTCCCGGCAGACGTTGTTTCTCTGCTGAACAAAAGGGTTTCCAACACTTTAAAAGCTCTTAAACACACACGTGTGTGTTTACATATGTCCTAGTATTTTCATTTGAAAATAATTGCATTGATTGCTAAAGTATATACACTTTAGGTGTATTTAAGTTTACAAGCACATACATTTAACTTTGGAAAGCATTAAAAAAAGATAAGGACTAACAAGGAGTGAATTAAAAAAGTGTGCCTATGAAAATACATTTACGCTCAGAATTATTTTATTTACATATAATATTTTTATGGAATTTTACTTTTTCTGTCATTTCATTTCTGTTGTAATGTTTTTTCTGCAGCATAAAAAAATAAAAAATAAAATTTAAATATAATATATATGTATTAAATATAAATGCATGACAAATAATGTGAATAAAATTTATTAATATCGCAATAGTTCACACAAAGCAAAGCAAAGATTATTATTTTTGTTTTCAGTTAAATTTATTTTTTATTAAAAAAACATTAAAATCCAAATACATAAGGCTTCAATGATCTCATTATATTTTGCTGCAGGTTATCGCTATTAATAATACTAAATATAAAAATTATGCATTTATATATTTATATAATTTAGACATAATAAATAAAACTACAAACAACCGCATTAGTAAAACACAATTGTACAATAACATAAATATTTTTATATAGCTATAATTTATATTTAAAAATGTGACAATTATATAATTGTACAATAGCGTTAAAGTAATTTTAAAATTTAAATTGAAAATCTTTCTGTCCTTTTTCACATTATTATAAATTATTTAGAATTTTTCTGTTGAAATATATTATTTATATAATTTTATATTTAAATATATAAATTATACATTAATTACAATAATCACATATATAGAAAAACCTATTCTGAATTTGTAAAAATCCAAATTTCCCCCCAGCAAATAAATATAAATAATTCTAACACCCAATGACTTCCTTAATGACATTAAATTCCTCACATTTGTGTTGTGCTGGTGTAGAGCCAGTGCACACACGGCAGCCCTCGCATTTTTATCCCATGGTAATAAGAAAAACAAACACGTAAGGAGGCGAAGGAAACCCCCGCTGCGGCGATGCATATCCTCCAAAAGCTATTAATCTTCTGAATGTAGCTGTTCACCCTGAAAAGCCAGATAACGAAGCCTAGGAAATGTTTGCTTCTCTCCACAGCAGCAGCAGCGACTAAGAGTGTTTCTTTACACAGACTATAGCTCCTCTGCGACACTGCAGAGTGACACTAAAGATGCACACTTGAGTGTTCTCAAATGGGAATTTAACACACCTTCAGACTGGAATCTCGGTAGGGTTTCCAGTCGAACACAGTATTACCTTACTCTAAGGTGAGGTGCTACCTTTTAATTGTTTTGGGTGATTAACATTCTTTTCAGATTTCTGAAGAATTTTATATAGTTACATAGTTTAACAACTGTACAAACACTGATAATTTCTTGAGGCCTGAGGTACAGCTGTGTGTGTGTGATGCTAAACAGGAAAAAGAAAAAAAGAAAGGAAAGTATTACCTTCTTTGCCACAGTTTTGGCCCTTGTTTTTTTCCCAGGGTCCCATCGTCTTGTCATCCTCTGACCCATCCATCATGGTCTTGTCGCTGGGCACGTACCAGGTGGCGTGCTGCTCTGCCATGAGAGTGTCCAGATCAATAGTGCCCATGGAATTCTTTCCAGAGTCTGGACTACAGCCCCCGAGCTCGCCATCTCCGTTCTCCCCACTCTTCTTGCCATTCTTCAAGGCCAGAGGCTGGTCCTCAGAGATACTAAACTGTTGCCGCTGCAGCTGAATCTGGGCCTGCAGAATCTCCAGGGGATGAATTTCTTCCTGGCCTGAGGTGCTGGATGGAGTACGTACCTGCTCCACTCCCGGGGTGCCTGGGTGACTGATCCCATTGGCCCCTGTGCCCCCACTGCTGCTGTTCAGTCCATAGCTATCAGGTGTTGAGGTAGTGTGATTGTTAATGCCGATATTGAGAGGCTTCTGTCCGTTTACTAACCCGTGGTCACTTCTCTGCATTTTAGGCGAGCCAGTGATCAATGGGCTGCGATTGGGCTTTGTAGCTAAGGCCCCTCCAGCGTCCGAGCTGGATGACACCTCATCCTCGTTGACAAAGTGGGTGCTCACATCTTCAGGAAAGTCCACCCGTGGTGAGTTACTGTTGGACTTAGTGACACTCTGAATGCCACTGTCCAGAGAAGACATCAGGTCGGCCTGGTCCCCCAACATTAGTTCACCTCCTTTGCCCCAGGAGGGAGATTGGAGGTGTTTCTCATGGGGTGTGCCCCCACCCCTCTCCCCAATGCCAGCTGAGGGGGCCTGCTGGCCTGGACTTACAACAGGGTTACCATTGTCAGAAGAAAAAAAAATCCCAGGGCTTACATGTCCACTGTCTCTTTTTCTCCTGCCTCTCCCTCTCCCACTCCCTGTTGTCGCTTTCCCCTCACTGCACGGGGTAGCATCCATGTTGTAGTTTGGGGAGAGGGCACTGGCTTCCCCCTGCACCGTCTGACTTTGACTTGCAGGCTTAGCAGAGTTGCTATTCCCGGTGCCAGGAATCTGGCTGTTCTGGGAAGTGGCGTTCTGAAAATATTCAGGACCAGCACTGCCTGTCCCATTAGATGTGCTGCTATTAATATCCTGCTCTGTCTGACTCAGTTTTCGTTTGCCCTCATTTTGGTTCTTTTTATTGAACGTTACATTGAGGTTGGGGGCCCCTAGGCTGGCGATCATGTTCTGGCAGGCCGTGGAAAGGGCTGCAAGGCAGCTCTGCCCAAAAACACTGTCCTTAGTGTTGGGTTTGCTAAAGTTCCCAAGAGACAGAGATCCTAGCTTACTCACATTGGACCGTGGGCCTGCGGGGAACTCAGACTGGGGAGGATAGCTCCCAGGTGAGGTGCTCACCCCTTGAGGAGCGCTGTGGGCCGATCCTTGACGATTAGTTCCCCCATAGGGAAAGTTGGGCTGTGTTGCCATGGGCGGTGCAGGAAAATCAGCCGGCCTTCGCTCTGATGGTGCGTTTGGATGACCCGCTCCGGCTCCAGGAGACTGCATCTGTGAGAGGTTACCCATGTTGCCTCCAAACTGTGAGTGCATGCCTGGGGAATGTAGGGCTGGTACATGCCCATCTCCTGGTATTCTCATGGGCTCCTGCATACCCATGCCTGGCCTAAACATCATGCCGGTGCCATTCTGCTGTAGCCCCATGTCATGGGGTCCAGATTCGTTTCCTGCACCAACCATACGTCGTGACATCATCTCTCCTTGTGGGTGGGAACCTTGAAACCAAGAGTTCTCTTGGGCAACATGAGGATTTTGTCCATCTATGTTAGGCATCCTGCCACTGTTTTCCCGGTCGAAGCCGGACGGATGCATGCCACCCACCGGACCTCCGTGAGCCATGGGGCCAGGAGGTACTTCGCCATGATGTCCTAGTTGCTGCAAGCTAGGCTGCCTCATCCTCTGCTGCTGGTTCCGTGAGGCCATCTGTTTTATCATCATGGCTGCGTTCTGGCGCTGCTGCAGAGACTGCTGCTCAGGCCCCGGGTGCTGCAGGGGACCCGGTGGAAAACCTTCACTAACAGGTGGGGTGAATTCTGCAGGCATGCCAGGATATGAGGACGGAGAAAGGTGGTTATCCATGCCGGTACACCAGCCATCACCACCATGTGTATTAGGAAAGTCAAATCGGGGCCTTTTTGCCATATTCATATAGGGGGAGTCAAAGTGTTGGAGCCTCTGATTTGGGGGCTGTTGGGAGGGAGGAGGAGCAGGCTGTTGCATATTAAACATTGGGTCCCCATAGGGGTGCAAACCCCTATTTTCTAGTCTGTGAATGGGATATTCAAATTGGTTGTGTTGGCCAGGCATCATGACCCCACCATCCAAAATGTTGGGGTTAGTAGAGCCGGGCTCAGCTTGAGGGGGTCGGGGGAGTCCTGGAGGGCAGGAGTTCTGTCTGGCTATAAGGCCAGCCTGTTGCTGCTGCATGAGAGAATGTCTGGTATTGACACCCGGGTCTATTCCCACGGGCACCTTTCGTCCATTTCCAAAACGCTCAAAAAACATTCCATGCTGAGGCTGTTGTGGTGGAGGCTGGTGTCCCTTAGACATGCCCTGCATACCTGGTGTCCGTGGCATGCCAGTGTTTCCAGGGAAATTTGGACCTGGAACTGGTCTTCCAGGGCCAAAGTGGGACAACTGAGAATCTGATTCTGATGGGGAAAAGACAGGTACATCAAAATGTCCAGATGGCGGTTCACCTGGAAAATTATACTCTAATCCTTCAACACCTCCTTGGTTTGGCATCCGCCTTGATTCCAGGCTGTGAGAGTCAGAGGAGGAGGAAGAAGGGACACCATGAAAGGAGGCTGCTCTGTTGGGAGATTGATCCAGAGGGAGACAGGGGGCAGGGACAGCATGGCTCCCACTGGGAGGCCCGTGATGTTGAAAATCAGGCATGTTACCAGCTCGCTGCTGCTGTGGTGGCTGCTGCTGCTGCTGCTGTTGCTGCTGCTGGGGGAAGCCATCTCCTGTCTGCCCCTCAGCCAGAGGATCAAATCCTTCTCCAAAGCCCTGCTGTGGTCCGATGCCATTGTTACTAAAACCCATTAACCTGCCACCATGCAGGCATGAAGACCCGGGCTCTGGGCCTCCAAAATTCCCAGCAAAATGCGGATGATGTTGGTGGGGGTGAGGTTGGTTGCCATGAGGGTGTCCTTGGTGAGGTTGTTGATTGCTAAAAAATCCATGCATGGGTCCTTGCTGTTGCTGCTGCTGTTGTTGGAGTGCACTGCCTGCATGCATGTCCGTGTGGCCCCGTGCAGGGTGAAAACCTCCATACTGCTCTCCATTCATGTTCATGTTGAGACCCAGCATCTGCGGCTCACCCATGGGGCCCATGCCAGGCTCCACCGTTCCTTGTGGGGTCCCGGCGTGAAAACCTGGGTTTTTATAGTGGGATCCCATGTTCAGTCGTGCTTGGTTTATATTTCTCTCTGACTGGCCAGGGGTTTTGCTCTGAATCTGAGAACCAAACTGCTCCAGCCCAAACATACTCCCTGGCGATTAATCCCACATGACGGCCAATTTGCCAGTTTTCTGTCTGTTTGACCCCAAAAAGACAAAAAACATGAACATTAAAAAAACATTCAAAAATGTAAACAAAATATATACAATTTAACTCAGTTAATAAATGTAAAAAAAAAAACAACTTACCGTTTACGTTTTCATTGTAGCAACTCAATTGCGTTTTTGGTATATAACTTATCCAAAGACGTGTAGAAGAAAAGGGGAGAGACAGGCTGCGTCCAAATTACGCACAGAAAAATGTTCTTGATTTCTAAGCTTCAAAGTTGCTCTTCCTTTGAGTTTTGTCTTTAATATGCTAATTAATAATTAAAAATGGTTCGTTTCATTTTCGTGAAGAGGTTTTAATTGTCCAAAGTTTCGATGTGGCAATTTCTTCAAGACGCAAAACAACTCGCAGTAAACAAGAGGGACAACTGGAGAAGTGAAGTGGGAATTATTTATAATTCATTATTCCAGTCCAATGTTGAATGTTCCAGAGCGAGTTTCTGAATAAGGTCCCATAGTGGAAACAAGAAGAAAGTCCAAATTGGAGCCGTAGAATTAGAAAAACATAACCTCTGCGGCCCAGATTATATATAAATTTTAAAAATCCTTTACATAAAACACCAACTTTCCTGAAAATTATATAATGCGAGAAAATGTCCACGGATCCACAGAAGAACCGGAGCGTCCGTCCTTGGCGCGGCTAGAGCCTGGTGCGCGGCGGAGCTGGCGGCGCCCACTGCACTGTTCTACCCGAGCTCCACGCCGATACAACGACTTGGAATCATCCTTTACCCGCTGCCTTTTTGATGTTTCAGTGCGTCAATTCTTTGTTTTAAACAAAAAGATCTTCTGTTAAGCGTGCTTAAAACCCGTCCGTTTTACCGGTTAATAACTCTGCTGCCGTGCGTAAAGAGCGCAAGGCACGCACTCGGTGAATAGAAAAGATCCACACACGGACCAGTCTGACACGCGCAAACACTTCGCTGCTGCTCTGCTCTAGGGGACTGACTAAGTGTAAGGATACACAGGCGTCCAGTAGATCCAGCAACAAGTTTTTCATTTCTGCAGCCACTTCCATGTATGTGATTTCGGCCAATCAGAGGCGGCAGAAAAACATGATAGGCGGGGCCAACATTTTTAAGGTGGTCTGAAGAATTAAAGTTAAAAAATGTTTCAATTATTATTCTGTGAACCAATTAAATGTATTTAATCTTTAAACGGTTCCGCCAGAAACTGCACATAATAAAATATAAAGACTACGATAAAGGAACTTGATGTTGATGATACAATGGAAGGCACAGTAATGTATAACGCGATGGAATACAAAAACATTTTATATTTACTAACAGTTACGCATTAACAAAATAATTGTAATAATACTATATTAGATATTAAACTGTAGAATATAAAAATATAATTTTAAATCAAATTGTAAAAGTAGTTTGGGGTTACCTTTAGTATGCATTTTGTATATTTATTTCTCATTTCTGCTCTTTTCTCGTGTTTTTTTAAATAAATATGGAAATTAATCAGTCAGGTTAAGAAAAACTCACCATGTTTGCTCTTAGCACCTTACCATTGATGTCATCTTAGAACCTTTAAAATACGGCATTTCACAAAACAAACACAAATAAACAGGAAAAAATGTAACAGTTCGGGACTTTGTACATTTAGGTGAAGCAGGAACTTGTTTCTTCGGTCTTTAAACTTTCACTTTTTGAGGCTTGCACCAGACTTTTGCTTTCTGACACGGTTGTCCTTCCCCTGGTCTAAATCCACAGGAAAAACTGTCAATACTGATGGAGTCAACAGAAAATGCTGCCTGAACTAGGATCTCCACCAATACCAGGAATGTGAATTGAAACAGATCTAATATGTGATATGAGATTTTAAAACTAAAGGTCTGAAATAGTTTACTTTTTCTGAACAGGGAACCAGGAGGGAAAAAACATTCCTTAAAAACCATCTGAACTAAATCATATGGGTGATATTGAGCCTGAAGTTTCCAATAATCAATAGCAGTCTCTAAGTATTGGTCTGTATGTTAGAAGCTGCGGTGGAGTCGATTGAATATAACTGACCTCATTAACATTTACAGTGTATGACGCAATGATCTTTGTTTAAGTCGAGCACTAACCGACAGCAACTGTAACCGTTGGAGGAACTGAACTCTCAGGTCTGGCGGAAAAACTGAGTTTAACATGTGGAACAAAACCAACAAACAACTGCTGTTTTCGTGTGTGTGTGTGTGTGTGTGTGTGTGTGTGAGTTGAATTCTCATCGTCTTGTTACTGACCGTAGGGAGAGCTTTAGAGTGAACATCTACAGATACATTTAGTTTAGCAGACTGTTGTCGTTGTTGTTGTTGTTGTTATTTCTATTTTCTTTACCCTTGTGTGTCTTTGCGACTGAACGATGAACTCTTTCTGGTCTGCAGAATATTTGACCGCATTTACGCGTGTTTATTTTGGAGTTTAACATTTAGCATTTTAATAAAAGCTGTGTGCATGTGTGTGTTTGAATAATGGCGATCTACTTTGGCCGCGTCATAATTTAATGTTCATATATGTATGTTGACGAGAGAGAGAGAGAGGTGGTAAGGGTGGAGGTTTTACTAAACGGACACAGTGTCACCTAGTGGCCATAGACGATACATTAAATGACAGAAAATTACATTTGCGTCAAATGTGTTTGTTGAATAGTTCGTCTGTTAAAATGCTTGTTTTCAATTACGCGTCAAAAGAAGTTTTTCGGAAGTTTTAAAACAGAACGTATTTTCCACCCAAAATGAACAATGAACCCAAACTGTTAGTAAACAGAGGCAACAGCTCTGAACCGTTCTTCAGAAGGAGAAACGATGGTCCTCCAAGGCCATAGGACAACAGAGAGGTGGAATAAATTAATGTGGACAGACAGCAGCACTGCTGGACCAAGCTGGATATTTCGACAAAATTAGAGTTTAGAGTGAGTTTTATACTTAAAGGTAGAAAAAGCTGTGACTCTTTTTTCACAATTAAAGGCGGTTTGAAAGGTGTTCAAGTGAAATGTTTGTTTGTATTTGGGATTTGGGCAAAAAATTGTGAGGATCCCAGGAGTCCAGAGAAGACAGCAGCTCGGAGACAGGAGACAGAGAATGGCATTGATTGTGCTTTTCAGGAAGAACCTGATTTTTTTCATTATAATTATTATTGATTTATTTTATTTTTATTTTGTTGTTTGTTTGTGTTATCTGATATGACCGTGATGACCACAGAAATAGAGCAGTGATAATTGTTACTTTAATTCAGAAAAAGTTGTTGTGAAGCTACTCTGTAATAACTGTCAGAAAAAAATGTAAAACGGAAACACTGTCACATATCAGAGTTATACAACATGGAAGTGGGTTCAGCTGTTTAAAAGGTAATTAGCACTTTTGGTCTGGAGTATTATTTGGTGTAAGTGTAAAAAGTAGGTACTTACCTTGTAATAGTGCATTTTCAAGGTTTGGAAAATCTCAAGAACTTTGTGTGAAAGCTTTAAAATACACAGTTGGACTTCGCTCCCAATCTTGTCTTCTCAGAGCTGGCCTTCAGTCCAGAGGTGCAGAAGGTAGGCTATAAAAAAAACAGATTTTGCAAAACTAAAGAAGAATTCTAAGTCTAGTTTTTATTTTTATTTATTTTTTTGTTTTTTAACTATTTTTGGATTCAATGTTAGACAAATTAAAAAAAATATGAAAAAAATAAAAAAGCCAAAAGTGTTGGGGGGCACATGAGAGCAGAAATTGACAAATGTTATTCAAAGCTAAACAAAAAAATCTAAAGAAAGCTAAAGAAAGAAAATGCCTTCAAATTAGATTAAAGACAGAGCTCCAAAAACGACCAGATGAAAAAGTCAAATTTGAAGAACATGCCATATTTTCCTACAATACTTGAATAAAATGTATAGAGCTCGGGAGAAATCTCACAAAAAAATCAATAAGCAATAGATAATGAATGGGCCGAGCAAAACAAAATGAAACAAACTAAAATAAATAAAATGTCACAATTGCTAAGTGTAACAACATTTTTGCTAGATTAATGACTAACAAAGTCAATTCAAATTAACAACTGCCTGATGTTTAATGAAGAAAAACAGGTCTGAGTCATTAGAGAAACAAAGACTGGTATAACAGGAACAATATAAAGTGCTGTGGAAAATAAACAAAACTTTTTTTAAATATGATAAAATTGGTAAAAATGTAATTTTAGTCAATATTTAACTGTGATGAAGTTATTAGCTATATTAGAAATGAATGTAAGAATCACTGATTTGGACAAAGCTATTCCTCATGACAAACTGACAATGACAAACTAATGACACACAGTCCTATTAATGTCCAGATCCGAGCTAGAACTGCTGCTGCATCACATCACCTCACCTATCTTAATATTAACAGTGTATATATGTATATATATATATATATATATATGATATGATATATGTGAGGATTATATGTGAGGATTTGCCCCCAGATACAGTTCCTCCCCTGGCTGCTGAGGAAAGGAGTCAAGGGGGCAGAGCAGGGGGGTTATCCTGTACCGTTGTGTTGGTTTGAAGCTGAACCTGGGTCCGTGCATCCTCCACGAGTCTGTCACTCAGACCAAGCATCAGAGCTCACCGGGTCAGGGGGGGTTAAACAGCATCTGTCATCCACAGAAGTGCCATTGTACTAAAGAGGAGGGATGGGACAGACACCAACGCTCCATCCATCCCCACCCCCAGTGTCCTTTTTCGGGTTCAGCCCCCGCTACCTCTTCCACCTTTCCCTCTCTCTCAGAATAACAGGAAAAGAGTGGATTCAAGAGAATCTCTGGGGCTAAACTTGACCTGAGCCCTGGAGGATGAGGAAACACTCGTGACATCACTGGCAGCTTGCGAACGACCAAAATAACTTGCCTTCTGCTAGAAAACCCGCAACAACCGGAGCAGTCCTGGCCTTAGGGGAAAGATACGTTTTTAGACGGGACCAAATCAGGTTTAATCCTGATGGTGCCACTTCCTGCGCAAATCCAGTGTGTCTTCTCACAGCAGGAAATGCTGCTGTGTGGCAACAAAAGAGTGTTTTTTTTAAATTGTGTAAGCAAATTTAACACAGGCAAAGGTGACGTTAATGTCACCTCTAGGGGCTAGAAAATGAAAGTGGCCTTGATCCATCCAGACAACCAGCATCGGATGTAGGATGCATAGCTACTTAGGTGGTGGTGTTCTGCTGTTAGCAAGACAGTAGTCCTCAGTGCCATAATATAGGCATGCTATGATGAAGCTATAAAATATTTATTTTATCTGGTGACGCTGTACACTCGAAGAAAAAGGCAACATTTGTTCAGTGTGGAGGTCAATCCTGATGCACTAAAGAATAAAAGTGGAGAGCGGAGAGGCCTGTTACAGTTGCCATTTGACATACAAATGTTTTGACAATGAATGATGATCCGCTTTTTAGAACAATTTTTAGCTTTTGCGAATTGTCACGTCTTCCTGCGACAGCATGCCAGGGTTTCCCGCTAGGGTGAGAAACGAGCTTCCCTTTGGGATTTATCCTCACTTCATCTGTTGCATCTCATTTTCTAAGACAGAGGCTCATGTTGCTTTGTGACATGTCTCTTTCGTCTCATCTGTGAGCTAGACACAGGGACGGGTGGACACATGCCCGCTGTTGACGACTGCATTGAACAGGAGGTGTGTAGGCGAGTCCGTCCATCTCCCCTTTTAGAAACAGCATCATTTGCTTGTTCTCATACAGATAGAACCAGTTTCCTACAGAAAACACGTGATCGTTCCTCCACAAACAATAAAAAGAAAACGGCGTATATCTCGGCCAGCAGACTGAAGTCCCTTCCTGTTCTTTAGCAGATTCCGCTGTTATTGTGTGACTCCTCTGACCTGCAGGGTCACTGAAAGTCCAGACGATTCCACAGTCACCAGAGAGCATTCACTTAATTATCAGGTATTTCATTCGTGTAAGACAGCTAACGCTTTCATTTTTCAAACATATAATCGTTCATTTTTTATTTTTGATCTGACAGCATTAGTTTCAATCAATAAAATACATATATCTAAAAATACGTCTGGGTGAATTTTCCTAAATTTAGGATTTATTATTTTATATAAATGGGACAAAACTGCTCTTTTTTATTCCTGAAGTTTTAAAAAGTGTGGAGTTGAAGGAGAATGAGCCTGGTCCCTAATCTGAGGTTCTTTTTCTCATTTACTGTATGAGAAAAAAAAACAGCATTGATCCTATTCTCTGTCTGGTTCTGTTCCAAACCAGTGTGCTCCCAGTAAACAGGCAGAGGTTGCACCAAATAAGCTGATCTGTAGTTTCACAGCCTGCCATCATCAGCAGTGTCACTTAAGGTGCAGCGTCAGCTTTTTCTTCTCTCAACTTCTTCTCCCGTATTCCCTAAAATTCAACGAAAGCCCAAATCGCTGACAAATATTTTATTTCTCTAGAAGATTGGATGTTTGCACATTCTTTTGCTGCTCTTCCACATCCTAACTCGACAGGCACAGCAGTGACAAATCTGAATAGACATAGATAGCATTTTTCTGTATGAATGGAACAGGAATACGATGTATCATAACAATGGCATATTCCATCTTCAGCAAACTAAAATTGTTCAAGCTTGTGGTCAAAAAGAGTCCACCTTAACAGGAAGATTGACTACTCTAATCTCTCAGTCCCCCTTAATAGGACTGACTAAAAAATAAAAAACAAACAAAAAACTTAAAGTCAGTAGTGAGGTCTTTGCCTTATAGACAGACAACCCCAATTGCTGCACCTGAATGGTAGGTGGAGTACTTTATTACGAGGGTTTTCCTCCAGAGCTTGAATGAGCTACAGTTTTTTATGGGGGGTTACATCTGCAGTAAGCTCAGAACTTGTAGAATTCTTAGGATGCTTCAAATTTAACAAGATACAAAAAAACAAAAAAACAAAAAGAGTCCCTTAAATGCAGGTGTACAAGTTTTTTTTAACAAGACTTTGTTGTTTAAAATTCTAAATGCATATGAGAATGTCTTAAGACACGAACACAGTGTGAATTCAATACATTTTATTAGATGTAAGATTTAATGGCACACAAAGATCTACAGAAAAAAGGCACGAAATACCATACATTCACTACCGAATCTCCAGATATTCAAAAGCTGATCAGACTCTATAGATATTTATAAATAGGGAGCACAACTGAAACAACCTCCTGAAATGTACTGCATTCTCTCATTCATTCTGACAAGTTCTCTTAAACCAGATAACCGTGATCATCAGGACAGAGATGAACACACAGAAATGTAATAGACTGGAATGTTTTCATGATGAACTAAACCTTACCGGTGTTCACCCACAGACAGACAGACTGAAATGACAAAAGGAGTCAATAGTTTACAAATACATTTAGCACCTGAGAAGAGTGATAACACGGAAAATCAGACAGTCTACAGTTACTGATGACCAGAATAGATGACATTTAAAAAAAAAACAAAAAAAACAACAACAACTCATTGACAGTATTTTTAGGAAAACAAAATCCAGACAGCAAACTATTTGAATGTTTAAATCATTAAAAAATGATTTTTAACGCATGAAAAAGTTACCATAATGTCATGACCACACATTAGTAAAAAAACCATTTGGACTTTTCAGTTAAGTTTATAAAACTAATTGATGCAGAACACTGTAGACAAGATGTTAAAAGTCAAGAGTCAGTGATAATGAGGCAGAGAACTGACAGTGGCTTTTTATGACCACAGTGTACAACTTCTCACTCAAAGATGTAAACACAAACGAAACATTCTGATGGACAAAAAATACACCTTTGAACATACAGTGGTATTTGACTGAGCCTGATTAACTCAACATTAAGTCCTGTAGATCAACAACCACTTTAATGAGTTGGGATATATTTTACTCCAAGTAGTTGTTAAAGGATGTATTTCACTGTTCATTTGAGCAAAACACTGACTATAAAAACATTGTGGTAGTTTATGGAACATGTAAGAAAAACTTCTTGCTTATTTGCTACTGAATTTCAATAACCAATGACTTGACACATACTAAATTTGAAGTCCGTTCAAAATGCGGGTCACATCACAGCCAAAAGTGGACATCACATGCAGCCTAAGGGCCAAAAGGTTAGACTATATTTAGGGCCAGTGAAAATGAGCTTGATCAAATGATTTCACAAAGGCATCAGTAGGTAGTGACAATCCATCTTGGCTTTCTGATTGGCCAACAAAATATTAAAGCAACATTCTCCCTGTTTTAACAGATGTTTCTGTCATAATGTTTCAGAAAAAAAAAACAAAGAAATAAAAGGAGCAATTCAAATAGGGGGGTGTCAATAAGACAACTGACAAGAATACAGCAAAAGAAATGGTTTTGGTCCAACAGTTTCTTAGAGAGAAAAGGAATTCCACAGAAATGGTGACAAAAAATTGCACAAGAAAATGTGACTGTGCTCAAGACATGAACTTAACATGTCAGTAACATGACACGGTTAAACCTCACTGCTGTCTCTGCACTGTCTTTACCTTGGACGGTATAGTAGACGGTATGACAGAAGACGGAATGTAGTTGCGGAGTTAGAAAAAACAGCTCCAGCTGGACAGCTAATTCTGGTCTAATTCTGGGGTTTCCCCTGTGTAAACAAAAGGGCTGCCTCCGGTTTCGGCCATACTTGATTTTGCCACTCCTCACATGGTCCACCTAACAAGCAGTTAACTGTTATCAATTAGTCCTCACAGAGAGGAACTATCACAATTAAGTGACGTAGTTAGAGCAGCAGCAGAGGTATAAGAGGTGTTGATAGGACCAGGGACAGAAATGCCTGGACATAAGGCTAGCAGTTCACGGTGCTGGTGTGGGGTTGTCACTGATGAAGGCAGTTTATGCGTATGTAAACAACGAGAATAAAACATGGGAGGTCTCGTTAGACCCTCAAAGCAGATGAGGTCTACACAGAGTGTTGGCATGAGTTAGTTGAGTTGGGACAAGGCAGTGTGGGCTTGTGACGGAGGGGGTGTAGCACCATATGTGGCTGTTCTGCGGTGCAGGGGAGGGGAGCTCCGACAGGGAGTTTAACACTAAACATCTTCCAAATGCGGAGTGTTTGTGGAAAGAGGAGAAAAGGCGCTGTAAACACTTCAAACAGTGACATCCTTTTAGCTGAAGGAGCCTGTGTGGATCTGTCCAGCTCCAGCTTTAAGAGCTAAGTCATCACAAAGGTATTCACACCTGTGACTGTGGAAGAAATATCTCAGGTTTATCCTTGTTGTGTGCAATGCATGCATGTCTTACACATGAGTATGTGCAAGTTTTTGCTAAATCTGAGTGAGAGAAAGAGAGCAAATACCTGTACGGACATGATTGTCAGTGCTATTAAGCTGCAGTGCTTTGGCTACAGAAGAGGTTGATGAAGGGGATTTGCAAAGGGCCAGGGTTCCAAGGGTGTTAGTAATGTTTTAATGGAGGCTGTGGCAGGAAAGTACATGAGTAAGACATGCAGGCGGTACCATGCCAGAGAACGCAAAACACCTTAACCACAGTGTGTATAATGAAATAACAAAAGTCAAGGAGAGGTAATGCAGGGCATTGTCTTACCAGAAATGCTTTGGAGGGTTACAGATGCATAGCAGAAATGAAAATTAACCACAAACATTAATATCAAAATAACACAAAAAGAATATTTGGTCCTATGACAATGTGGAATTAAACCAATTAATTAGCCTTAAAATATCTATTAGCTCAAACACGTGTTCCTCTCCAAATCAACACAGAAGATTAGAAAGGCAGGTTCTGACAGTGACATAATGCTGATACCTGGTGTTTGCCCCACAGAGGAGATCAAAAATTAACAAAGTCTTATCAGTGGGGGATCCTGTTGGTTTCTACGAATCAATTCCTCAGCAGGGAGAGATCTATGATTGGGTTTCAAGAATCTGTTCTCCTAATCGCAGGTAAGGTTTCTCCTCTACAGTCTGAATCAGTCAAGATAAAAAAAAAAAAAACAATGGCACTGAAGAACCACGTGGCCGTCTTTCATCAGGGTGTTTTTATTCTTTTCTTTTGAAATTCAATCATCCCTAGCGCTGGTCCCTCGAACTTCACCTTTTTTACGAAGCTGTAGAGATAAACAAAAAAATAGAAAGGACATATTAGACTTGAGAAGTGAGGACAGCAGTGCAATGTTTTGTTTAAAGATGAATCCACACGATGGTATTATTAATATTGTAGTCATCACAGTGCATCTTAACAAAGGCCTGTAGAACCTGGAGAGAGTTTCTTACATGTCACAAATACTCAGGGAGGAAAAGTAAGAGAATGTACATTGCTGCATACTAGTACATACAGTATTTGTATTGTTAATCATACTTTTATCCAGCATATTAAGGTGACAAACAAGTGTTCCAGCCTTTGACAATGACCTCACCTGGTGCAGCAACAGATCGATGTGAGTGTGGGTACATGAGGAGATAGAAGCATGTTGTAATAGGGCTGGGTATCAGCAGGTGCCCTGGGTTACTATATTCTCACAATATTTTGTCAACGATAATGATTATATCACAACACAGCGATTCTGCAATAATTGCTCTTTTGCAATAAATTTTAATTTTATAAAATTGAATTTTAAAATTTTTCGAGATAATCCATTTCACATGAAGTGGAGGTTTGAAAAATTGCAGCAGGTTTTTGTGAGAGAATCTGTTTAGAATGAGTGTATGTTAACATTTTAATATCAATATTGGCCACCGGTATCGAGGATCAATAGCATACTGCAAGACAAAATACTACAATATACGTATCAGAGTATTGATATTTAGCCACACAGCTTTAAGACTGGGCAACAATTACAATTTAAATTGTGATTAATCACACTGTTACGCAAGTCCAATTATCAATTCAAAACTGTAAAGAGCAATTTTGTTGTAAACATACTGCCATATGAATGAATGAACATTTTTAACATCAGAATTTTTAAAGAATAGCATTTAAATATAACTAGAGACTTGGGTTGTCAATCCTCCCGTTTAAATTAGATGAAATAAATCAAATCATGTTCAAATTTTTAAATGTTTCTCAAGCTTATAATATACCATTTTAAACATTTGCTTAGCCACGTGCTTCTCGGCTGCTGTGGGTTGCTGACCTCTGTGATAGGCCAAACACCATAATGGATCAGTACAAACTCACCCTGGCTCTAAACAATGGAACAAAGAGATCTGATGAAATGGCACACAAGGATCCATCCTCCTGCTTTCTCCAGCATTAACCCAATTTATCTGTTCTTTCTTACTCAATCACAGCACAGACCCTGTTTCTCAGCCCTGCAGAATTCCATTTGTATGTTAATGAGGGTGGAAAAAGGAGGGGAATCGTTTTAAATCTAAACCCCTCCCACCATTTCTTCTCTCATGTTTCCTGTTTGGTGCTGGGGGAACATTTCTCATTTTTTTGTTCTTGGATTAAGTCACCCCAACTGTAAGTGAATATTTCATTTTTTTTTACCTAATTTATTTTACACCTTGTATTAAAATAGTGAGCACTTTCAATAAATCTGTCTACCCTAGTAGCCATACCATAAACCTCTACCTTTGGGTTAATGATATGAACCTGTACCTAAGAAGTTGATTTTTTTTTTTTTAATTTTGATGAGAGTATCAACGAGAACTGTTTTAAAACAAAACAACAACAACAACAAACAAAAAACAACCAAGGAGTTTCTCGCTGACTGTCTTATCAACAAGCCCAATGTCTAAATTTAGGCTTTGGCCTTCTACAATTTCATCCAGTCCAAGCGTGACCCTGCTAACCCTGCAGCACAGCGGTTC